TTTACCTGATGATGATTCAGAGAGAGAATTTCAGTAGAAGTCTCCTTCATTTGAATAATTTCACGTTCTGATTGTGTTTTTGCATGTATTTTGTTAGTGTCTGTCCATTTTGTCTGTCTCTCCTGTTTATTTAGATTGTAAATTCTGCAGGGCAGGGACTGTCTTTCTCACTGGGTTTGAACAGTCCCTGGCACAATGAGCACGCACTTCTGAGTGCATTACGGTAGCATGTAGCAGTCCTAAACAAAGTTCCTATTAAGGAAAATATATTATTCACAATAGCTCTTAAGCACAGGCTTAAAACCCATAGCAATCAATAGAACTCAGCCATATGCTTAAGCATTGTCTTGTGTACAGACTTAAGCACATGCTTAAGTGCTTTCTTGAATTGGAGTCCATAGTGGCAAATAGGGACATGACTAGTGACATGCCACAAATGCTTATGGGCCTTAAGAGGTGTCTTATAGCCTCACTGACGAAGGTCTGCATCGTGCATTAATGGGGTATACAGCGGTACTGGAACTTTTTATAGTGGGGGTGCCAGTGGTCCCAAACTTTATACCACATATCCCACCCCCTTGCTGCTGTCTGTGCCCCTTTCCCCACAGCTGGGGCCAGGACCAGGACATGACTATGGGGAAAGGCTGGGGAAGGATGGAGACAGGAGTAAGACGACTGAGGATGGGACCACAGCTTCAGACAAGAGCTGAGCCGCAGGTGTAGGTCCTGCGGCTGGGACCCGAATGCACGGCCAGAAGCAAATGGGTCTGGTGGCAACCAGGACTTGGGTTGGGTGTGTGTTGTGCTTGGTGAAAAGCTCCAGGACCCTGCATGTTGGGGCTGCAGGAGCAGAGCCAGTGTCATGCTAGGAGCAGAGCCCCAGGCACAGAACTGGCAGTGAAAGGACACTAGATGCTGGGACATTGGCTAGGACCCCATGCAATATCTGGGAGTGCTGCAGCAGCCCCTGTACCCATAGTTCCTGTCACTGTCCATTTTTACTATACATTTTTACCACAACTTCATGACATATCATGTGAAACAAGGGGTGGTGTAGTGTAACCCTGGATAACTTCTGCCTTTGGAGCTCTTTACAATGCATTACAGCCGTGACATCACATACATTTGCTGATCTTTATATGTGGGCATGTGAGACACTGGCCCCCCCTCTAACTTCTGCACAATATCTGGGAGCCAGAAGTAGTACAGGTTGAACCTCTGTGGTCTGGGACTCTCTGGTCCGGAAATCTGCCAGATCACAGACGTTCTTGGACCGGAGAAACCCAGCAGCAGAGGTTGCCAGCAGCTGGGAATGAAGCCACTCAATGGGCAGCGAAGATCGCAGGGCAGTGGAGCTCACAGGCTGGCAGGGCTGCACAATCCATACAAGTTGCACCTCCCAAACTCAGCCTTCTCTAGTCCAGGAGCATCCGTGGTCTGGCAGGACTATGGATACTCCTGGATCACAGAGCCTAGTGGCAGGAGGCCCAGCAGTGGGTGGCTGGGGCTGGAACCTGGGTCAGCCGTGGGCCAAGGCTAGAGTCCCTTACAGCCTGAAGCAATGTTCAGGCAGGGCTGGAGCCCCCATCAGTCCTCAGCTACCTGTGGCAGTGGGGGGCAGAAGGCCCTGGTAGCCCAGGGCTGGAGCCTGTGGCAGCCCAGGGCTCAAGCTGGAGCCCATTGCCCAGCAGCCCTGGGGCTGCTGACATATAGGCCAGCAGCTTGGCAGGATGGGAGTCAGAGGCAGCAGGGACAGCAGCCTGGTCAGGGTTGGTGGTGCTCGTGGGGGGGGGGAGGAGAGGGGAGGTGGAGGCAGGCGCATTCGGCTGGGCCGGTATTGAAGCCAAGAGCACTGAAGTCTGGTGAGAGCTGGTGGCAAATTACCTCATTCAGGACCTGTCAGCTCCTGGGTGAGCCAGACCAGGGAGGTACAACTTGTATCATAATAGCCGAAAGAGGCCAATATCATTATTATCTGAAGGGAAGAGCTGAAAATGACTGTGGTATCTATGGGTATGTCTACACTACCCCGCTAGTTCGAACTAGGAGGGTAATGTAGGCATACCGCACTTGCTAATGAAGCCCGGGATTTGAATTTCCCGGGCTTCATTAGCATAAGCGGGGAGCCGCCATTTTTAAATCCCCGCTGCTTCGAACCCCGTGTAGCGCGGCGTTTCACGAGGAGTAACGGTAGTTCGGAATAGGACCCTAGTCCGAACTACCTAGTTCGAGCCCCGTGTAGCCGCGCTACACGGGGTTCGAAGCAGCGGGGATTTAAAAATGGCGGCTCCCCGCTTATGCTAATGAAGCCCGGGAAATTCAAATCCCGGGCTTCATTAGCAAGTGCGGTATGTCTACACTACCCTCCTAGTTCGAACTAGGAGGGTAGTGTAGACATACCCTATCTTGTGTTGGGGAATGTCTACACTTGCACCATCATTCAATAGAGGGATGCAAATGAAGACGTTCAGAATTGCAAATGAAGCTGGGATTTACATATCCTGCGCTTCATTTGCATAATTGCAAATGGATGACCAGTTTGCCAAACTTTTCCAACATCTGCATGCTGGAATGACAGATCCCTTTGTCTTTCTAGATTGTGTTGTTAAGAGAAACCTCATTGTCCCATTGTTATTTGTACTTTAAAGAAACATCAGTCTAAATGAAATGATTCCTGGGGCAGAGTCAAGATCAAATTCTGCTAAGAAAACTTTTCAGGCAGTTATATTTGTGTGCATTAAAAAGTTGCCAGAGAAACCTCATTAAAGAACTACTTTTTGTGGTTGAATAAGCACATGTAAAGCTCTGAGAGCTAGGCCTGCAGATAATGGCATCTCATTTTGCTTGACAATTTGCATTTCAAGAGCCACGGTTCTTTTCAAATGAGAGCCAAGAAAGAACGTCAAAGCAAACATCGGGATTAATAATATCACACTTGGTATATCACTAGAATCTCAACATCCTTAGGTAACTGCAGTACCCTCCCGCCCTGGACAAGAAGTGTTTCAGTTTTAGTCATTGACCATATGGCAAATACTGGCAGTGATTCTGCTTTCACTTCAGTCATGGAGTAACTTCACTGTGGTTAGTGGATTTTCCTTGCATAAAGTTGGTGTAACTGACAGCAGACACATGAGCTGTGGCTTTTTTGTGGTCCTGATTCTTAGGCACGTGCTTAAGTTTATGCATTATGGGCAACTCCTTGCTCACAGTGCATTATGGGTAATTCCTTGCTCACAATGCATAGGGTTAAGCATCAGAGTGAATCTTTCCAGGATTAGGGCCTGGGAATGTTCCAGTCTAGTAGAATGTTAACTCACCATTACAAGAGGCAATGAGACATCATTGCCCTCTACTGCAGTATCTGACCTGCCAATTTGTGTGTGCAGCCCAGGAATATCCCAGGCGCTGGCTACAGACATGAATGTTTTACAAGTTAATGCTGGTTTTAAATATTGTACATAGGTCTGTGGATTGTAGATGAGACTCTCTTCCTCTCAGCTGATGACATGGTTTGAACTTCTCAGTAGCTAGGATAATTCTCAGCTGTCCATGTTGATTTGGTCTACTAATATCAGTATTTCCCTCTCATGATCACTGTTATGGGCACCATTTGCATATGAAGATTTTCCCCCCTCCATTTTCTTTCACATTGTGGCCCTAATCTGAGTGTTGGTAGTTGGGCCTGCTTGCCCACAGACAATAGTAAGGAGAGCAAAAAGGAAATTAAAGCTATAGAAGTAGCAGAGTCACTGGAAATGCCAGCCAAAAGAAAGTAAATTCCTCCAGTCAATGAGAAGGAAAAGCAACAATCCACCAAGAAAATTGTTCTTTGTATCTGAACAGTGAATAGCAAGTAACCTGCCACACTGAGGGTATGTCTACACTACCCTCCTAGTTCGAACTAGGAGGGTAGTGTAGACATACCCACAGAGAGTTACTCCATAGGATTTTATTGTAGCACTGTAGTCCTTTGTTTTGTTTTGTGACAGAATCAAACCCTTTATACCTAATCCCAACCCCTTCTTAGCCTCCATGGGAAATATAGATATTTAATAATTGTGGCTGATACACCAATATATTTAAACTTTGAACTTCTGATCTTTTCTAATGTCACAAGTAAAATAACCAACGTGTCCCTTTTCTCCTCTCCTTCTCCTGTTGCGTCTTGTTGCCTTTGCTTAAAGCAATAATATTTAATACAAACTGTGTACAAATTGAGAAAGCAAACAGAAATTTTCCTGGATTCTTTCAGGTATGAAGTATGATTGATGTCTTTCTTTGAAGTTACGTGTAAAGCCACTGTTTAAGCCAACTATGGTGAAGAATGAGAAGCTTTATTGGGAAAAATATGCCTAACTTCAATTTTTCACTTCACTTCTGTTAAGTTTAGGGTATGAAAAATCTATTTGTAATTATAGAAAAGAGATAACTAAGAAAAACTCTTGACAAAACTCCCATTGCTTCATGAGGCCACTTACATCAGTGGAGCCAGACTTTTCAGCTCTGGACCTGATTCTTTGGTCACCTCTCCTTTGTATCATGAGTAACTGTTGAAAGCAATGAAGTTAATTGTGAAAAACAGGTATGCAGATTTTTTTAAAGTATATTGCATTAAAAGTATCAGTATCAACCCTTTATCTGTACTTGTAAAAATATTGGATGATTAAGGACTCCTTTCCTGCAAATTTTCAGCTGTTATACCAGCTGGTATCATTGTGATTTATCAATTTTCTACCTTGTTCATTCTCAGAGTTAAAAGATAAAGAGCATGAGACTTGCAGAGAGTTATAAAACCCTTTCCCTCTTCTCCTCCTCCCCCCGCAAAAAAACATAAAGGTCATTTTAGAATAGTGTTACTGACAGTCTTATTCATGGTTGACTGAGTTCAATGTTTGATCACAAGATTTTCAGCCAGACACAGGGGCCTGAGGTATATTTTGACATGTTGGTCACATACTAGAAAAAATATGTACACCAATGCTGTCATTTTTCTGCAGATGAATAATGTGACCATAGAATATTGCCTTGACATCATAAGGAAGTTTGAAGTTTCAGAAGAAAACAAGGAGCAAAATGTTCTGGGGATAGAAGGTAAAGTATCTGATACCCAATTTATTTCCATAACAATAGAGTAGAAGAGTTCTAACAGCATTTTCCCTGTCCTCGCTTTTAATGTCCGATGATTACAGTAGATTAAAGTGAAGGCTCAATCACATGATTGCTCGGGGGTATTTTATTAAGATATGTATGGAAAGATCGGAGAACAACAGGTTGAAGTACCTGACTAGTACTGTGAAGTACCTGACCAGCCACAACTGCAACAAGTCATTCCAGTATTGTTTTAAAACAAGAGTGCATAAACATTTGTATGGGTTTTTATTTCTAATTGTTTATATGTATTTAGGTTATGGTATAAATATTTTCATTTATGTAAAAAAAATGAGCCAATTGTGCTGATACATTTGTGTAAAACCAGAACTACTTTACAGTGGTCCGTTAATTTACACTCATGTAAGTGATAGCCAGGAATACAATGGGGCCCAAAGTATATTCTTTCAAGCTTTACAAACTTGCTCCTTTCATTTGCAAAAACAAGGCTGCAGGTGGTATATTAATTCTGAAATCATCTTAATTCCATATTCAGATCTCCATAAATCTTTCAGCATTAAGTGCTATGGTCTGTTAATTAGTCCAGAAGGTAACTTCCATGAGCAGATTAATTTCATGTATTCTGTAGGGACAAAAGTCTTCTTGCTAAAACACAGCACTAGCAAACACCTGGGCTGTGTCTACACTGCACCCCTTTTCTGGAAAAGGGATGCAGATTAGACACATTGGAATAGCAAAATCCGCGGGGGATTTAAATATCCCCCCGCGGTATTTGCATTAACATGGCTGCCGCTTTTTTCCGGCTTGGGGATAAGCCGGAGAAAAGTGCCGGTCTAGACGTGATTCTCCGGAAAATAAGCCCTTTTCCGGAGGATCTCTTATTCCTACTTCAAAGTAGGAATAAGAGATCCTCC